TGGCTATCACAAATTGTGCTGCTATAAACATAGGCACACATATATCCCTATGATATGATGTTTTCAGATCCTCTGGGAAAATTCCCAGTAGAGAGAAATGTCTAACTTTTTAATCCATGGTGCCTCTCTCTCTCTCAGTGCAAGTAAATGGAAAATGAAAGGCGTGATGAATCTTGTGAAAATGTTTTAAATGATAAACATGTGTTTTTAAAGTTACCAAAAATAGGCGTATACATTACTGGCCTTTACTTCCAGTCAAGCGCTTATCCTATTGAGCCATCTCCCCGGGCCCTGGCCTTTACTTCCAAGAACAGTATGGAGAGTCCTGCTACCATTGCCTCCGACGTCAACGCTTATGGCGCCACCTGTCGGCAAAATGACACAGCTGATCTCTTTTTCAGATCATTTGCGGTAGGAGTGAGCATAGGAACTCAGTTTAGAACAGGTGCCATATTATGGAGTCGGGCTTAGTGGCGCACACCTGTAATTAAATACTCTGGAGGGTGAGGCAGGAGGATTGCAAGTGCAAGCTCAGCCTGGGAAATTTAGCAACGTAGACCCTAGGCTGGAGGTTTGCTCAGAGCAAAGGCCCTAGGTTCAAACCCCACTGTGGTGTCTACAAATAAACTTTGATTCCTGCCACAGTCCTGTGCTCTGTTTGGAAACCCCTTCCTGCCTTCCTTCTTTTTTTCTTTTCCAAGTAGATCCACTTTAGTTTCTTCTTTCCCTCTTTTGATCTGCTCATAGGAAATCCTTTGGGTCCTAATAAAAGAATAAAACCAGTGTTTCCTTTTGTATCCTCCAGGATGAAAGGATTTCAGAAATGGTTAGTCGCTTCTCAACACTGTCAGATTCACATCTGACTTTATCAAGGACTATTCCCCTGTCAAATGAGAGGTTACTACATCTGTTTAAAAGTTCTTTTCAAGGAGGTCTCTAAACGTGGGCCCCACGGTAAGTGAGCCTGGAAGACTCTTGTTTCTCACTAAAGAGTCCAAATTTCACACTAAAATTAAGTGGTATCACAGCTCATCAGAAGACAGCAGCTCATTGTTATTGCATTTTGATCCTGATTTTATCCCTCATTAAGTGTAAAATCAAGTCACTTTCTATCATTTAATTGCTCTGTATACCAAATCACCTAGGAAAAGTAGCTTATAGTTTTTAAGTACAAGGTCTTAAAGAAATTACGCATCTACTGAAGAGTAAATTTAGATCTTCACCCAGTAACAAAAATAAACATAGAACTTATTTATTCATTTAATTTATTTTTTTTACCAGGGATTAAATTCATAACCACTTGCTTTCCAGGCAGGCTCTGTGCTGCTGAGCTATATCCCTGGCCCTGAGTTGGATTATTTTTAAGGCAAAAGTCTTATTATGATGCCATGATGACCTGAAGCAATCCTCCTGCCTCAGCTTCCCAAATAGCTGAGATTACAAACCACAAGCATGGGCTGCCTAGAATCTATTTAATATTAGGCATCAGGGCTTGTTGTAAGCTAGTCTGGGGTCATTTTGAAGAAACAAAATTATTTAGATCTGGGTGCTGAAGAATTTCCACCTACTAATATTATAAACGGCCAGGAAAAATGATTAACATGCATTTAATTACATTTAATTGGGAATTAATTTAATTAAATTAAACTAAACTTAACTTAGCAACATAATTTCCCATTTAGATGCCTGTATTTAAAAGAATAATTCATAACATCACCTATTTATTTTCTAATATCTGCTGCTGGCCTGATGCTTAGCCTTTCCAACTCTGAAAAATAGTGGGGATTTGGTTTGCTTTTCTTGAACTGAGGGTGGCATCCAGGGCTTTCACACTAGTGACACCTCCAGCCCATGTTGTTTTCTACAATGCAACAGGGCCTCACTAAGTCCCTAAGTGCCCTAAGATGAGCTTGCAGTTGTGACCCGCCTGCTTCAGCCTCCCAGGATTCCAGGACTTCACCACCATGCCCAGCCTTTCATCTGTGGTTTGTTTTTAATCCTCTCTTTACATACAAGGAGGTTGAGAGTAGAATGGGGGCAGTGAGCTAATGCTGCGCATGACAGAGCAGGACTGGATCCCACATCCTTGGTGACTGTTCCCACCCACCACACTGCCACACATTTGAAAACAAAAGCCTGGATGAGTCTCAAGAGACTCAGTTTGATGAGCCCAGGCTCCAGTCTTCAATGGGGAAATGATATTTCATAGTGGAAATAACATAAGAGAACTTCTCCTTTCAACATGCTTGTTCAAAAAGCAAAGAAACTAGGACATAAAATAGGCCAGGGACCAAAAATGGAAAAAAAATTAATGTAAGAAATAGACATGATGCCACATGCCTGGAAGCCCATCCTCCTGGGAGGCTGAGGCAAGAGAATCATATCTTCAAGCCCAGCCTTAACAATTTAGTATTTTAACAAGACCTTGTCTCAAAAAATAAAAAGGACCTAGGGCTAGGGCTAGGGCTAGGGCTGAGTGCAATGGCCCTGTCTGGGCTCAGTCTCCCATACTACAACTACATGCATAAATAGTCATTTCCTTGTACCGGCCTCAAAGCAGGGGTGCACTTTTGAGAACCTCTTTCTCAACCACCTGAGTCCTTTCCTCTGTCTTCTTTCTCCTTGTCTTTTACTGAAGCCTTTCCTAACCCCATCACACTCACCTCCACAGGGGAGGTCTCAGAGCACTTTGTTCCACCTCTAACCGGTCTCTCCCCTGTGCCCACCCCAACCAGGGTGAGGACCGTCAGGAGGGCAGCAGCAGGCCGTGTGCCCAGCCCTGGCCTTAGTGCCTCCTAACTAAATGCGCTCTGCTCTGAGCCCCTCACCTGCCTCAGGGAAAGTGAACGTTCTGAGCTTCATATGTTTGATGCACCCAGATCTGTCTATGCTGCTACATCCAGCCTTTTAGCACATTCTAGCTCAGGGACAGCTCATATTCTGCCACAAAATTGTATGTTTACCAATTCTCTAACCACATGGATTTTATACTCTTATTTAGCCAAACGCATTTCCTCAATACGAGTCCAATATTCTGGTTAGTTTGACTCAACACAACCAAAAGGAAAACAGAAACATGGATCTTTCTTTGTCTAAATTAAATCATAGATTAATTCTAAAGAATA